ATATTTTCCTCCAAATCTGATTAAAATTAGGCATAACATAAAATTTGCTAGCATCTTTTTGGGTGAGAGAGTTTTTATAGTCTCAGAAACTCTCTTTCATGGTAGAAAAAGTCTAATGTAAACGAAAATCTCTTACTAGAAATTATTTGACTTGAAAAAAATTTCTCAAGTCAAGTCAAACCCAAAAAAAACTTTGGACTAAGTCAGATCAAGTCAACTCGGTGAAAAGACCAGCTCATTCTCTACGTCTAGCTGGAACGTCTTCAGGTGCGATCGAGATAATAAAGGAGGCGGAGTATTATTAACGGTCGAAAATTCTCACCAAACGAACATGCACTAAAGTGAAAGCAAGTTCTTTTTAAGATTTAGACGTATCTTCCACTTTTTTCAGGATTATGCGCGAGTTTCATGGTTCGATGTCTATGTTATTTGTCGTATGCTTCAATGTACTGTGATGGAACCTTGAAATTATCTAGTTGTAGAATAATCTTGAGTAAATTATTCATGTCTATATATTTCAAATACCCTATTTCTACATTGTGCTCATAGTTCCTCCGGCTGGCTCTTGTGACTTGTCAGAAAGTTGGTACTTGGTTAGTAAGTGTGTATGAGAGCAGATTGATTTTAATTGACCAAAAAGCGTTTTATCGATAACCTTGTGACAACTGGTACTAGATCTGATGCAATTTAGATGATGGTAAGTACAAAGATTCTAAGGGTTTCTGTAAACCTTAGACAAATTTCCTGTCGTAGTTTAACAGTGTAACTCAGTTTTTTACTCAACACAAAGATTCTGCTGAGATTCTTTGAATTTGTGAGCATAGCTAAACATTCCGTGTTTTTCGAAACCTTCTGAAAAAAACATTTAATATTTTTACTCATTGTAACTTTATTGTTTTTTCAGATTTCTTATGAGGTTGATTCTGTTGCCACTCTTTGGCCACAATGTTATCGCCTGAACAATTTTGACCATGTATCCTCTGGCAACGGATATCATAGAACAAGCAAAGGCATCGATCCTTGTTCGAGTTCATTTGTCTCTGTCACCATTCAGGACAGAAAGTTTACGAAATTGAGGTCAATGTACGCATAAACGGTAGTATTCAAGTATCGTTTGACTTTCATATGAAGTTTTTGAGTGAACGATGACTGGATGGTTTTACTCTATCTGGTGCGAGGAGATCGTCCACCTCACGCTGATGAGATAGCGCCGTACCTTTCCGAGAAAAATGAACATTGATAATGATCACCAACAGGTATCGGTAGTGTCACCTAGACATTATCATATCCAGAGAGAATATCGGGTTGAAAAAAAATTCCCAACTTCTTATTTCATAATGAATGTTGTTTATTTTTACGAGGAAGAGAAAGCATTTGCTGCTTACCAAAATGAAACAAATAATCGAAAGCTCTAAATGATGGTACTTGTAACTTTCCTAATGAATTGAAAATACTATTAAATATAGGTCGAAAATCATCTATTTCACTCCAGTTTAAACGAACAGCATTAACAACCTTTCCTAAATGATCCTAAAACAATAGCTGAATTCATTTCATTTGATGATGACAATAAAAGAAAAATTATTCTGCCAAGTTAAACTATTAATGCCAAGGTTTGGGCATAACAGTTTAAAACACTATTGACGAGATCATGAATAAGAAGTCTCGATTCTTGGATATCTTCTACTAATGAAGAAATTCCTGAAGATATCTTTGTATAGACTCCCAATGCGAAATTAGAAATACTCACTTTTATGTAACGATACAAAAACTAGATAGGTTTACAAAATTCGGTGCCGCGATTTGAGAGTACTAGTCTGGGAGGTCGGTGTTGGACAGCCCTTTAACTTTGAACTTTATTAAACCACGTTTTCTTATTCAGTTTTTGACGTAGAATACGCAGAAATATAGTTTGAAACTTATATACTACTACGCAGCGCGCAAATTCTCGAAAAACGAATGTGAGCGATTTTCGAGTTTTTTCGATTTTTTTCGACATGGAAACAATCTTTTGAAACTTTAAATATATTTTCTTATTCAGCTCAACGAGTTCTATCGAACGATGTATAATAAGTTCAAAAAAACTTTTGCTCAACTTTTACATTACGCGTATCCTAGGCAAAATTAATCCTGTTCGCTCTCGCATCGAGACCACAACAAGGGCAGCTAAGATATACATATTCGTGATTAACGTAAAATTCTCTTCCAGATAGGCTAGGCCTTGTCTCTTTTCTAAGGGGGGGGTCACTCAAATATGTTCCCTCGTTAGACAAATTTTACTAAGTTCGTAAGTGGTGTTCGAGACAGTTAGTCCCAGCAAAGTTAGAAAGAAAAATAACAACGGGAAGATGTAGTTATGCTTACGTTGTTACTTATACCATTATCTATGATAGCAAAGCAAAAGGATGAATGAAATTTAATTCTTACTAGGCTACGATCCACTCACGATAGATAAAAGTGAGTATTTCTAATTTCGTATTGGGAGCCTACACACAGATATCTTACCAAGATTTTTTTTCTTATAAATTTTACAAATCTTCAGAGGTTTCTTCATTAGTAGAAGATATCCGGGAACCGAGACTTCTTATTCATGATCTCGTTAATATCGCTTCAATAATTTCATTCAGATCCCAGACAAATGTAAGAGAAATGTTACTAAGATCTTAGTGAAATTATTCTAAGATCTCAGCAAGATTTGTTTAAGTTTATCACTAGTGTAGACTCACGTCCACAATTCAATTTTGTAGAACAAACTGGACTAGCACTACCGGGCGCGCCAAAATGATTGTAACATTCTTTATTTTCCACATATCTCAGTTCAGAAATATGGTAAAATTTTAATTTCTTTGTTAGAAGATGCGGTATTTAATTCTGTACAAAAAACATATTGAACATTTTTCTATATACCTTAAAAAATAAGAGAATATGAAGGAAATACGGCGAATATGCAATCTCGACTACTTTCTACACCAAAAAACAGTTTTTCAGTTTTGGTCCTTTATGTTTTGCAATATAATAAAACAGAAGACAGCTATTTTGCAGCCATTGAAAAGTTCTGCCAACCTGTTATATTTAAAATTCTTCATAGTCACAAGAGGTTGAGAGAGATTTTTCTTTTATCGATTTAGCCAAAAATCATCAGTTTCAAACTACAATTCGTGGTCACTCAGGAGAAATTCATAACTCAGTCAGAATCAAACATTTTAAGATTGGATTTGTTTTACTTTGAAGGAAAATAACTCTGCTTTAGCATCCGAACAGAAAAGTTCTACAGATCCGCTATTTCTATTGTGCGAAGACGAAGGATGGATTTGACTAAAGTAGCTTTTTATTCAAGAAAAACACGTTTAAAGCGAACCTATGAGAAGAAAGATAACACTTAGGAACACCAAAGCATATATTTTATTCCACTTTCATGTATGTCACCGCGCTCAAAATAAATTTGTTTTTTCGGTGTTTTTTGGCATAGGATGTAGTCGAGATTGCATATTCGCCGTATTTCCTTCATATTCTCTTATTTTTTAAGGTATATAGAAAAGTGTTCAATATGTTTTTGTACAGAATTAAATAACGCATCTTCTAAAAAAGAAATTAAAATTTTATCATATTTCCGGACTGAGATATGTGGAAAATAAAGAATGTTGCAATCATTTTAGCGCATCCGGTATAATATTTCTAACATTCTTCGAAAGACAGAGCGCCCCTGTCGTCTTCCTCTGGTTCTTGTTCGGAACTTCGCATTGTGGTGCTTCCAGATTGATTTTGACACTACCTGTGACGTTTTAATTTACAGAAATAGAAAAAGAGGCTGATCGATTGTTCACACAGACGCCTATGTGTACCACTGTCACCATAGGCTTGCAGTCAGTCGAATAAACAATTGGTGTGCTGAAGAATGTAATAGTAATGACGCTCTGAAACAGCACATAACTTATAATTACAAAAACGTCTGCATCGACTATAACAAGACAGTATTTAATTATTAATTTAGCCTAGAGTGTTTACTTTCAGAATCCGTATCGCTCTCCGGTCTAGAACTAATTCTACGTGGTTTTGGACAAGTTTTCTAGAAGCCTTAAAAATCAGGATCTTCAAATAATAATTTTTTTCTGGATACTTAAGCAAGTAAATTTTTTCTGAACACATAGATTTGTAGAGCAGACTCTTTTGACCAAAATAAGACGTTGCACAACTCTGTGTGATCTTCCGGACAAAAATTACAAGCATTTTCCTACATGTCCTAAAACAGGCTAACGAATGCACAGCGTTTTCTCTCATAACACGTTTTTTTTGTCTAACCTCGTCTACTGTAGATCGCTTTTCTTAATAACGGTTTTGGAAAACTTGAAAGGATCTTTCAGGGTTAGAGAACCAACCAACGCCTAATTAAAAAATCTGATCCCATCACTCCTCCCCGCTAGGTGTCTGGTTTAAAATAAAAATAACCAAGAGAATCTAAGAGATCTCTATTTTGAGCTGTATTAAAGAAAAGGGATTTACAGTGAAGGGTGGTTTTCGGTCTCGGACTCTAGAAAACTCCGGAACGGCAGGAGATAGAGAGTAAAAAAAATAATGTGATAACACCTTTGAGTGTGCACCGAAAGTTTGATCAAAATCGGATGTAAGACAAAAAAATTTTTTTCTGAGGGGAACCTTAAACCTAATTGCTAGAACTTAATTTTGAACTACAATTCTCTATTTTATGATAATCATACGCCTAGAAAAGAACGTATATTCATTATTGAGGGGATTACTTTTGTTTTTCTACGTCAACATTACATCACTTATTATTTCGTTGAAACAAACAACGGGATGAAGATCAAAAGTCACATATAAATGTCAAAATGTTTTTTGATTAACTTCATTATTAAATTGCTACTATACCCATTTCAAATAGAGAAAAAAAATGATCATATATCATCTAGTCATTATCTCTGTTTCGGCTACAATTAGCTATACGCTACGTGAGTATTTCGATTCTACTATATTCGGACTTCTGAATGAATTCTCATTATCTAAAAATAGAGTCACCCTATCGTCGTATATGCTATTTTACCAATTGGAGTGCACATCGTTCAATGAAAGAAGCTCGTTTGTATCCTGAAGATATACCAGCCGATTTATGTACACATATTTTTTATGCATTTGCTACTGTGAGCGGACAAAATTTACAAGCACAAATACCTCATGATTTACAAGTTTATCAAGGCGAACGAGTAAAGTGTTATTATTCATTTCAAAATAGAATACATTCCATTGTTTTTTGGATATCTTCTGATTGAAAAGAAATAGAGACCAACGGTTTTCACCATTTGAAAGAAAAATGTTGCGAGCATCTAAGATAAAAATAAAAACAAAATTCCTATCTATAGGTGGTGTGCAGTGCGTATTATATGGTTTAATAACTCAATGAAAACTTTTTAGTTCTTGAAATAACTAGTACTATCGCTTATATTACGATGATCTCACTGTGTACGTGATAAATAATGATACTATTGATTCAAATTAACTGTTTTGATATTGCATGATAGAAAGAATCCCAAATAAACGACACACGATTTTGGATGGTCGACATTTATAATTTAATTGCAAAATATCTAGTCCGAAATTGCGTAAAGATCCTATGATCATATAGATATGATTTTACTGATAAGATTACTTAGCTTTTCTCTTTTATAACTATATAATTAACCACGTACCAAATCTATGGACAGGCGGGGGAGGAAACCCACAGACGGACCGCCTCTGACATGAGAAGAACTGTACACATTTTGCTAAGGAAAAGATTTTTTCCATTATTCGTCGTTTCCTCTATCGGAAAGGTCCTTGGTACGGACCTGTTTAGAGTTCGTTTTTGATTAAACTCTAGTATTTGTTGTAAGTTAACTATATTCATTTAGCCTCTTTATCCAAGAATAATGAAATTAAAAGAACGTAATCCGGATTTAAAAATTCTCGTTTCATGTGGTGGTTGGGGAAAAGCGGGTGAATTTAATTCTCTAATCGTATCAAATGAGTCAAGGTAAGGGAAAAAATCAATGTTATCAATGTATATTGGTGATATTTCTTTTCGAACAGAGAGTCGTTCAGTAAAAATGCAATTAAATTTTGTCGGAAACATGGATTTGATGGTGTTGATCTTGTAAGCGCTTTTACTTCAATCTCAACAGAGTTTTAAATACCTGTCGTTTTTGTCTTTTTGAGGATTGGGAATTTCCTGGTGCTGACCAAAAGGAATATTTTGGCTTACTGGCGAAAGTACCTTTTTAAGTAACTGTTCATCAAGAATAGTTTTTGCTTTGTAGTTTCTCTAATCTCTTTTATTCTTTTATTTCTCTGTTCATTTCTAGACAATGCACAAAATTTTCAAGAAAGAAGCAAAAAAATTAAATCGTGAGCGTCTACTCATCAGTATAGCTACAGCTGCTAGTGAAATTTTAATAAAAACGGGTTATGATGTACCAGTTTTATGCAAGTAAGACAGACTACGAAAATTTACAAGAGTATGAAGAGAATGCTGAATTTTGCAACTAGGTATTTGGATATGATCAATGTAATGACGTATGACCTTCATGGCTCATGGGATAATAAAATCGGACATCATAGTGCGCTCTTTCATCGAAGGGGAGAAAGAGGTGTGGAACGGGGACTAAATACCGTAAGACATAATAGTACTAGTTAGAATGCTATCTTCGTTACAGTTTTCTTCCATAGAATACATCAATGTATCACTGGGTGACAAGAGGATGTCCACGTGAAAAACTTCAGATTGGCATAGCAGGTTACGGACGTGCGTTTTCAACATTTAATAAGAATCCATTAAGAGCATTTGGAGAACCGAGTGAAGGATCGGGTGGGGTATCGTCACCGTACTTGGGAGAAAGTGGATTATTAGCTTATTATGAGGTGAGTGTATAGCTCCAGTGCGATTAGTGTTAGCGATATGTTAAGTTATTGAGTAGATTTGTCGAAAAGAAGAGCAAGAAGGTTTCAAGCGTTACTGGCATAAACAACATCAAATACCTGTCAGTTTCAAAAACGGAACATGGATCGGCTATGATGATCCGAGTTCAGTGCGAAATAAAGTATGAGTACGAGGCAAACGTGATTTACAACCTAACTTCTGATATGTTTTGTTTTTAGTGTAAATATGTGAAACAAGAAATGTTTGGAGGTGCTATGATATGGGCATTAGATATGGATGATTTTCACGGAAATTTTTGTAAAAATTCATATGGAAAAAGGTTTCCGCTCATCACAGCCATGAAAGAAGAATTTCAGTTAGAAGACGATAATCGTATCTTACCGTTAACAACCAATAAAGCAAAAACACTGAAAGATCATGAAATTGATTTAGCTGAAGAACTTGATCAAATAGATGAGTTTAGTTCAATACTCGATCTAATGTTCCATGAAGCTGAGCAATCAGCATCAATAGGAACTACTAATACACTTTGTTTCACCTTGTTTTTGTCGCCTCTGTTGGCAAGTATTGGCTAATGTCATCGATGTGATATCGTAGCGTAATTAAAAGTGAACAGCTTACTTTCAGTAAAAGTAGCAGCAATAATTCTCTTTTCTTCTAGTAGTTCCGTGTACTGTTTCACCATTTTGTTATTCATGTCTACTATCTTTATTTAACTTCTTCATTTCTTTCAAGTTTTATCGCATTGTGGCCCCCATGTAGCTCACGTTGTAAAGATTTGTATCAGTTTTACGCTCACCAGCTAAATATCTGGCCAATTGAAGAGCTTTAATCAATAAGTTTTCTGCATTAGATTGTTTATTTTTAGTTTTAGATACAAAAATATTTTCTGATTTAATTATATGTTTAATTTTATATTGTTGAAATGATTGTCGTCCATGTTTGCTAATCAATAATTGAGTTATTTTCGAATAGTCAAGTCATGATACATGATGTATCATGGCTCTCTGACATCATATATTCGACATAAGATCATAATGTGCTTTTGATTTAGTTGGAAATAAATATACTATCAATTTATCTTCAAATCTGTCTAGGTGTAATGCGATGATCGTGCGTTTCCGATTTTGTCCTAATCGCACCCAGAGTTGGAACGGGTTTAACCAATCAAACCGGTTTTCTATCTTTTATCGGTATCGGACAGGAAGAACGCAAGAGAGAATCGTCCGATATCGATAAAAGAAAGCGAACCGGTTAAACCGTTCCAACTCTGATCGCGCCTATTATTTGCCGTTCCAGATCATTGTTGCTTTTGCTGTGGTAGAGTCGGCCGTGGATTCCATTATTTATATGAACCAGCTAATGTTATATGTCCTTATTCTAGACTATGAACAAATAATCTAGATTTCATACAATCATCACGATTTTTGAATTGAACAGTACCACAAGTTTAACTAAATAGCCTAAAGGATGGCCGTTAGCTAAACTCAAGTTTAAATGATTATAATCATTTAAACTTGAGTTCAATACTTTCAATTCCACTGCCGATGATTTTTCTAAATATGAGTCATAGTTTTTATATATGTTTTGTTGTATTTGCTGTTGATGTCGTTATGCAATTATCATACGTTTATGATTTAACAGTTTTTGGGATATTTTGATTGTACATGCAAACTATGATTTGTCTGTAAAACATTAACGAACAACATTACTTTACTTAATATAATCATAATTGACAGTTCTGGAATCTCGGAAGGTGAAGAAATATTTTTCATTAACAAAGGAAATACCTAATTCTGAGACGGGAAAACTTTTCTGAACCTTTTTCCTCTTCTAACAGTAGCACAAGACAATCTTTTCCCATGTACTACTGATTTTAAAAAATTTCATTTTTCCTATTAGACACAGTTTATAGCCACACAAAAATCTTCCTATTTTTAACGAAATTTTCTCCACTTATTGGCGGAATTTGCGGACATATTGCCAAATGATACCTTCCGATTTCGTTCGTTCATACGTCGATCGATAGAGAGTATCGAGCTAGTAAAAAGGCTAGAGACCTCGAGTTCTATTACCAAAAAAAATTTCGTTTGATATAGTGTTCTGTACAAGCTTATGCAGTTTTCAACGAGCTTTTAGAATATCTAGTTGGTTTTTAATTTAAGTGACAAGATCTAGAAAAAAGCGAAAATACGCTTCGTTCCGGAATTCCACCCTTTTTGCTCTTCTTTGCAGATGGTTTGGTATATAATTTTTTCTGTCACAGAACGACTTACCAGGTTCTGATTTGCACATAGATAGATAGTCTGAGGTGCCCTCTATCCGATTCAACCAAAAATAAAGTTTCAAAATCAGATTAAATGGACAGAAAATTGTACAAAAAATAAGCGCTAAAACTTTTTTCAGAAAATCAGAAAATAACTTTGGCATATGAATATGAAAATGAATATGAATGAATGAATATGAAAATAAATCAGGTATTTGATAAAGAATTCGATTCTCTATCCGATGGTACAGTTGTTTTCTGCCACTGTTCATTTGTATAGATAATAGTTGACAATGGACGAGGCGGTGACAGAGCAGAAAGCTTATGAGGCGATCGCCTCGAAGTAGATTTCTCGAAATTTGACGAGATACGGGGTAATGACGAGGCAGGAAGTCTGCGAGTCGATCTCCGCGAGAGACCTGAAGATAGTCCATCGCCCACGTCTGGTGCACAGTGTCGAAAATAATCCAGTGAAGTCCAGAACACTACAGTACGTTCATTCGGCAATCGCTCAGTTTATCGAGTGGATAATTCGATGAAAACAGATAATTCGTGAAATCATCTTATAATTCTTTCCAGTTAGACACAGAAGGCATTGATGAGTGGGAATGGATGAGCGAGGAGGATTTCTTCCTTCACGCAAGTAATTTAATCCTGCGATGAAAGTGAGCGGCAAGAGACCCGATGAAGAAAGTGTGACTCTCTTGATCTATATGAATGTCTTTTGTGTCTGCAAAGAAGTGTGAGACTATAGGACGAACGATCTGCTTTCGGCTACGGGATGAATAGTCTACGGAACAGATTTTATTTAGAAGCTCTAATTTTGTTGGCAAGATACTGAACAAATTCAGTTTTTATAAAAAGCTTCAGATCCATTCTCGTTCAGAATATTTTTTAGCACCGGTTCCGCCACACTTGTACTGCGACCGGGAGTGGGACTATGCAGTTTCGCTGTTTTCTGTCTGTGAGTCTTCCATTAAATTTGTTTGATGTTTATGAATACGAGAATGAAAATGAAAGTTTTATTTTACTTTTTGATGGGAATCGAAAAAATCATTCATGGTTTTTTTTATGTTTACCGTTCTTTTAAAAAATGTTAACTGTTTGTGTTCGATTTAAAAGCATAAAATACCATTCGCGCATCGCAATCAGATGTTGGATTTTTAACATTTTCGTATGAAACTTGTTCGATAATAAAGTGTGGCTTTGACAGTCCACCATCGATAAATGCTTGTGTAATATTTTCCTCATTAAGCGCTAACACCCAAAATTTTTCATTTCCAATCATATAAAACGTTTCATTTCTACCAGCATTCATTAATATCATTCCATCTGGTTTGAGCATGTCAGCAAGACGTTTAATCGTTCGCTTGTACATCAGATATGTTGTACAGGCCGCTTCTAAACACAGTCTGCTAAATATCATGTCGAATTGCATAATACCATTCTCTTGTTCTATTAATAAATTATCACTATTAACATCACATCGAAATAGACGACCATTTCGAAGTGCTTGACGAAGTTTATCATCTCGCTGTTGTAAATCGTCAGAAGGCTTTAGGAGATATTCGAAAAATGGTATCCAGTTATGCGCATCAGCCGTTCGATCGAGAAAATTTTGAACGGCTATTAAATTCGACGGGGTATAATCACAAAACCATATTTCATGAAAATATTGAGCCAAGAGAAAGGATGGCCAAAGAACAGGACCACCACCAAATTCCAATACTCTTTGTTTTCCCATTAATCTATCAGCAAATTGTTCCAATACCTTAACAGTTGGCAAAAGCCAATACTTGTAAGGAATTGTTGGTGATAGATTATGATTTTGTACCATATAATATTTTAAATAGTTGAATGTATTAAATTTATCATCATAGTCTTTTTGTACATCGTTCTTATTAGTCGAATTAGCCATTCGGGATAACGAAGATGATATTCTAAAATTCAGTCTCATAATATACTAACAAAATATGAAATAGCAATGATTAAAACATCAGTCTCTATTATTATTTACTGACAAATAAAATAAAATAAAATAAAAGAGAAGAAAGCTATTGTGTTATGTACATAACATATTTTTGTACAATAATATAAGACTATGGACATATCAGTTTAAGCAAGGGGAAGCGTTTCATTCTTAGAATGATCTCAATTGGGATTTACAAAATAAGAAATCTAATTTCGGTGACAGACCTGGTTACTATCCATTTCAAAATACTAGGCAGTCCATTGTTTTTGAAAAAATCGAGAACGCAAAGAGGTAGCGAGCTGTGGTTTTCACTGTTGGAAAGAGGACGCTTATAGGTATTTGTTTATGTAGTAATTACTCAATTTAAAAAAATTTTCAGTGGATTTCCCGAAGGTTTCTGGAAAACGTAGGTTTTCAAGGGTAATCGATTTTTATTTTTCAAGTTTGATACGTGTAATCGATTGCGGGAACATTTACCTCCAATCCTAATCGATCAGAAAATTTTTCAGACTTTGCATTCGAAAGCTTTGCACGTGATTCCGAATATGTAGTCTGTTTGGCAGTTTGGCTTTGATGAAGGGTCCAAAAACCGTGAAACATGTCACTTTCAAGCTATCAGCATTTGAGGCTGGGCTTTCGAATACAAAGTCCGAAAAACTTTCTGGTCGATCCGGAGTGGAGGGAATTGTTCCCGCAATCGATTACACGTGTCAAACTTAAAAAATAAAAAATGACTATCCTCAAAAAGCTATGTTTTCCAGAAAGCTTCTGGAAATCCACTGAAAATTTTTTTAAATTGAGTGATTACTATATAAACAAATACTTTCGAGTGTCCGCTTTCCAACAGTGAAAACCGCAGTTCGCTACCTCTTTTCGTGCTCGAGTTTTTCAAAAAACAACGGACTACTCAGTGTTTTGAGATGGATAGTAGGAGGAAAAATAAAAGAATTTTTCAAAAATAGCTTTCATAATGTTTCTGTTTCTCATCAGGTTTTGTTTAAGAGTATGTAACTAGGGCGTGAGAAGCTCGCAATCTGTGACTGTTAAACCTTGAGTTAAAAGCTTCTCCGAAACTTCTCAAAGAGACTAAAAGATAAGTTTACTCAGAAATGCTTATACAGACATTTAGTTTTTTTATCTAACGTGTTATCATTTATGAAAAAAATTAGTTTACATGTTATATGTAGTTTTTCATAATGATTGGGTTTATATGCATCTATTTCTAGGCTAAATCATAATCGTTAGTTGTCTTAATCTTCTTCAGATACGAATACGAAAAACGTAATAGAAATTAGAAGAGAGAAAACGAAACTTGTTCATAAATTCTTTTTGAGTATCTCGATCTACAGTATAAGTTGCAGTAGTTTAAAAAGTATCTATTTGCTAATCAGTTCTTAACAGAATGGGCACTTCTAATTATATAGCAACAGCAAATGGTAGGATAAACCGCACTGAGGGTCTAACGATGTTACTATTAGTACTGATACATTAAAAAAAGGCAACGGCTGATACGATTAAGAAAGATCTAAGAAGTACTCAATGCTAATGGAAATGGTATTGCCGGTGCAGTCAACGATCTAGCCGATGTTTTGTTTGATCCGACATTATTAGAACAAAAACGATTTAACTTTATTGCAAGTAAATTGCGCGATTTGGAGCGATATAATCGAATCTGATGCATTAGATTTATGGGGTCATGGTGAGGAATGTGGTAAACAAATTCCTAACTAGACTATTTTATTTATTAACATGAATTTAGATATTAATTTGACAACGAATGTAACTAAGAACTACCATTGAAGTGGATCACCAAAATACGGTAGAAAACATCCCATTCTCACTCTTTCATACAGTCGACCATTACGTAAAAAAATATTACGATCATCTTACTTACTTCAACTATAAAATATTAAATTTCAATTGTTAAAGAACTGACTGAAACGCCATATAGATATTTCACGATGCTCGTACTACTGTAGTATAGGTGATAATAATAAAAAATGTATGACAACGAGTAATGGAAGGGTTTATTATAGAAAATCTGATAAAACATTAACATTAATAACAAGAGCAGGTATTAATAAATTAAAGAAACCGTTTGATCATGTTGCAGATAGGCTGTTATTATTTAGGAGCCACTAACTAAAGTGGAAACATCACTTTAAAAGCACTTGTCTTTTCGACATCTTATGTCTTACGTCAATAGCGGAAACATTGTATGAAGTTGTAAATGGGTGAGATCGATAGAGTACAAAGTTCTCTATGTTTCTACTTAGAAAAAGTAACTATTGAACTTCAGACAATGGGCTAAAAATCTCAAAAAACGATACGAGAAAAGCA